GGAGCGGCCTCTCGCTCGCTTCCTCTTTCCCTGTTGAACTGGATCCACGGGCGGAGTCGGGCTGCCCCAGCAGGTGACCTAAGCGGGGCTTGGTTTCTATGGAGCTCCTTAATGCTCCTTGAAGAGCGCTTTAGGCTTAAGAATACCTAGCAGTGTTTGTCAAGGACTTAACGGAATCATCATATCCGCTGAAGGGGGTGATACATACGAATACAATGCCAAAACCCGTCAGGCGAGATGGCAGATATCCTGCCTTCTCGAGTTCTGTTTCCTAATGTCAGACCATCCCAGCTCCCTGAGAATACGAGGGATGCTGTTACATGATCCCACACCACTTTTGACTTTTGAGAGAACCCTTTCTAAAATTCTTGCCTTTTTGGAAAGGCCCGCAGACAGAAATCCCACCAAGTTTTAAAACACACAAAATAGGATTATGCACCGAACTTGTGCAGTGTGCTAAAATCGCCACCATTCCCACTGAAAGGAAACAAAATCTTTAAAAGTTAAATCCTGGATAATGGACTGAAATATTCTAAATTAAAAAAAAAGAAAAAACTCTCCAGGAAAAACTCCAGTGGATTGTAAGAGTTCTCAGTAACATTGCCCAGAAAAGTTATTCACTTTCTATTTCCTGCAGCCTTAGATAAAGAGACTCTAATATATGAAATCCAGAATATATTTTAAACACTTACAATGCATTTTTTCTATGACAAGGAATTTTATTCCCAGCCTTAACACTGACAGCATAAATACAGTAGGCGTTCTTAAAGCATTAAACTATCATTTCAAACAATACAAAACTCAAGGAAAAAAAATATGTTCTCCATAGCAAAAAAAAAAGTAAATCAATGTGCAAAAGCTCCATATTTTGGATACTTAATTGCAGTTTGTCAGAAGAATAAAACCAGTTGTTATGTGAACACTGTGGTGTCTGGTCTGTAATAGCTAAGATGTCTCAAAATATTTTATTTTAGTATAGAATTTGCACTTGTATATATTAAAGCCATTGATATAATATTTGATCACATCACATCAGCAGAGGAGGGAGAGGCCCTATGGAAACAATATGTTGTGGTAGCTTACTGCCAAATATTAAAATAGAGAAGATGTGACCCAAAGTCTTTTCAATACTGCTAAGTTAATTACTTTGAGCTTAAAAACAGTCATGCTGCTGTTTACATGTTTTTTCCTGCCATGCAGAGTTAGCAATGTGTCCTCTGTAGACTATCAACTGAAGAAGTAGGTTGAAGTTGGCCTGCAAGACGTACATTTTATGTGTGTGATGCTCACATCATATTTTATAGAATGGTACCTTTTGCATGACATGGCAGCCATAAAGTCAGTAAAATCTCTTTCAAGTTGGGTTTGATTTCTGGTGACCTCACAGACACATCCATGTAGGGTTTGGGGTGGTTTGTTTGTTTGTTTTTACAACAATAAAGAAATAGTTTGATTCTGCCTTCTTCCAGGACTTTTTGTTTTTACAACTTCTGAGTAGTATACACCTCTGGTATTTCTTGGTGGTTTCCCTTCCAAGTAATAACTAGATCTGACTTACTTATTTTTTTGGTCAGCCAAGATTGGCTGTCTCAACAGGCAGTAGCAGTTGGCTGACTTATGTGGCTTCAGAAACTAAGAATAGTTCGCCATTTCTTAGTTTCTGAAGCCACACAAGTCAGCCAACTGGCACTTCCAAAAGGTTTATTGTAACCAATGGAAATGTGAGGTGGGAATCTCTGATTCTCAAGCCATTTTGCAAACAAGGCATAGATATAAATTTTCAAGGCAGGGAAATGAACAGCCAAATGGTCATTAATTCAAAAAGGTAGGAAGAAGAGACACAGGATTCAAACCTTGGGACTAGGATACATAACGGTCAGGATTTCTGGCTGCTACAAAGTACTGCTTTATTTCTATGTGCAAGTCAATGAAATACTTTATCAAAAGACAAACACAAGTAAAGAAAGAGATTTAAAACACTACCACACTGACTTTAACAATCTGAATTTAGTTCTGGTGAAGTATTCTGAATTGTAAATATTGTAAAAGGTTTTACTTAATATAATTAATGTTGGATGAGAGGAAGCAGGAAGGTAATTCTGTCTAGAAAAGATGACTAACCACAACATCTGGTGTTATGAGATATTAATCAACTGTTTGACAAGAATGCAAAATATTCTAGTGCTTTTCAAATATGTATGGATTCAGAGTAACAAACTGCCAGTCTTAAAAAATAACTAATCAGTACATCATCATCATCCATATACCATATGGTATATATACCATATACCACTGGGTTATCTACATCAGTTTATACTGTTAGAGTTTAGTATGACTCATACACTGAATCAGAAAAGTTCTGTTTCCTGAAACCTGTAGGAGTAATATTATAATTTCCTCTGCAAAACTCTAACTTGTTGTTTGTCAGATTCCCCAAACAGGCAAATAAACCTGTGTTTCAGTTACTAAGGTAAAAAAGGTAGATCAGATCTAATGTGAGTTAAGAGAGCGGGAGAATGAGCAATTAGCAAAAAGAAAAGTCTAGGGCTTGGTTGGAAATATTGTGGAAAATGCCTCAGTATATATCAGTGTCCTCCACTTATGTTTTTCGGAAGGAAGGAAGGAAGGAAGGAAGGAGATTAGTTACTCAGAATAATTTAGCAAAGAACAAAATGGTTTAATATTTCATGCAATATCCTGGAAGAAGACAGTGGCAACCCACTTCTATATTATTGGTAAGCCAGCTACACAAACATAGCTCTGAAGTCACCAAAGTAACCACAGTAGGTATAGCTAGGATTGCAGTTTTAAGGATTAATTCTGATGGGATTAAAATCTTAGTTCTCCTCTGCTTAAATGACATATATACAAAAAGATTCTGTATGGTCGTTATGATTATAAGTGTCTAAAAGTTCAAAGACTTACAGGAGGTATATGAAATTGGATGCATCTTTTTCTCTAAAAATGGACTCTTCTGCATGGATATAATTTACTTTAACTTGTACAAAAATATTATTAGCTTATTCAAGATAAATATGGAATAATGCAAGTGGCAAACCAGCCTGATGGTTGCAGGTTCCATGGTTCCTCCATGTAGCAAAATATCTTCATGAGTAACATGATTTCTAGCCTTTAAATTTCAAGTTATGAGTTTACAACAGCAGTGAATGAGATGAACTTTGAAGTTTCCACCTTCAGTTTAGCAGCTGTTCCATGATTCAGCCTTTCGTAATCTTCATCCTCCAGATATTTTGGACTTCAGCCTTTATATGCCTATCCATTAGAATATTGGCACTGAGCTCAGAGAGGCTTTAAGACCTTGGTTTATCTCTTTTGTGCTCAAAAGCTATCTTTTCTTCCTATGTTGTTGCCATTGGGAATAAGGAAATGAGAAGCCTATCAGTACTTAAGGATAATGATTTATACAGTCCCTTCTTTACTATTAAGGGCATTTCCTTTAATTCCCTTAATCAATTAAGGGGATTTCCCTGGCATAATTTCTATTCCAAGCATTTTCAAGTCTGCTTGGCCATTATCTTCACCACTGCTCACTGTGGAACACAGAAGAGCCAGGAAACATCATAAATCAATCAACGTTTTCTCTTGCCAACAGAAGAATGTAACAATCATTCATGGTGCTCTGCCGCGCAAACTATAATCGTTCCCATGTTTTCTCAGTGTCCTTGTGTACATTTTTTTTCCAAAAATCAAGCATTTTTCTTCCCATGTATGAAATACCGCTGTAAACCATGATTATGACATGACACTGTAGCTGTGCAGCCAGACATAGTTGTAGGTTGAAGCACAGAGTCTCTGTGTTGGGGAAGGGGCCAGGGAAGAGAATTATGCCTCATGTGATCATGAAGGCTGGAATGTGGAGTAAGATAAGAGTCTATATATGCAGAGTAAATCACTCTGGACAATTCACAGGGATTGTGAAACTGACTAGGATTAAGAACAAGGGGTTGGCCAGCACTGAACAGGGGTTTAATGTGATGGCCGAATAGCCTTTTCCAACTGTAATATTGCATTTATAGACATATTGCCTTGGAGAAAGCTCCAAGGTCAGGCAGTAAAAGGAAGAATAAGGCAAAGGTTCCAATCAGTATGTGGAAAAATGGACCATCCACAAGCCATGTGGAGCTCCACCACCAGAAACTATGTGCTTTGAGTTTGCTACAGTGAACTCGCCCCCTTCCCCCGCCAAAATCAACTCAGCTGTCCAAGGAGAAAGATGGCTTGTGATCACAGGGGATGGATGTGGTGCCAGTACAGGAGCAGCACCGAAGTCCTATATGGACATGCCCTAATTTTGGTACAATAAAATGTGTAATGGCATCCAATAAAAGGACCTGGATTATAATGGATATTTTTTCCAACCAAAATAATATGTGATCTCAGCATCCAAGAACATATGATATATTTTCTTTCTCCTATACTTCTGTGTTGTCTGAAAAAACACATTTTTCCCCCTTTCCTATGTAGGAAGACTTTCTCTTGGTAACAGTTTATCCAAAGATGCCAAGCCCTTCAGGGGAATTGTTTCTTATATCAGAATG